GCATCCATATTATGATAAATGCCAGCTAATAACCGAAGTTGTATACTTTGCACCGATTTTCCAAAGCAACTTTCCTTGAAATGCATGGTTGAACGTGACCATGTACTCCAGATTGCAAATTTTAACCCCAAAGCGAGGGGAAGTTGTTTTTGGGCATTGTGAGCGGTAAAGTGCATGGAGTCTGGATGTGCGAAACAACTGTGATGGAACTGGATAACAAGCTCAACAACGCGATTGGTGCACAGATCCATATGAACAACGCAAATTGATCAAAAAACCCTGTGGAATGGCTCCACCTAACATACATGTACTCAAGCCAAATGTGGATGCAGTGTTATACGGTCAGAACGTTTGTACTGTGACGCACTATCTTTCTAAGGCGGCGAATTGACATTGGACATTAGGTCGACACAGGGTCATGTAATATGTAAAACAATTTCAAGAAGAATGGATGTAAATAAAGGGATAGAGGCAGTATCGCGTAGTTTGGTGAGTCATCTCCAGTGACGTAGCAACTACTTTGCCGCCCGGGGCGGACGTAAAATTGCCACCCCCTGGCAGTTGTAAATCCGTAAACCCACATAATTGCGAACAGACCTTAAATATTCCGTTTCATATAACAACGATCAAAGATCTAAGTTTAGAGGGCTGCTTTAATGCAGGTATTTGAATTGTTACAAAACTTGTGCTCAAAATGTACCGAAACACTTTTGATGCAGTACTTAAGCAACGGTATTGATAACACTAACAAAATCCAGTCCATTGGCAAGTTCCCATTGTATGGGGAGAAATGTCCAACTGTAAGCCTTATCTGGTTCGTTAATAATTGTAGATAGTTCGTCAAAAATTTGCGTTTTGTGAATGCGCTCGTACAGCTGGTAATACTAATAGTTTGTGTAAGAAAGATGCACAGTAGATTTCCCAAAGTGATATTCCTATGTCAAGCTTAAAAGTTAAGGAGATGCATTACTTTTGTCGTTGCTTGAAGCTTTAACCAAATACTACAATCTTATTCCTGCAAGGAATTCCTATGTTCTGCATATCTCTTAACTTCGCTAGGCGGATAACCATACCTATCATCAAGCAATTTGACGGGGTAAGAAAAGTATATTTGATTGTAAAATCATGCATTTGCTGGAATCTGTGGCTTTTCATCAGCCAGAGAACATCTCCCGTGTTAACTCGGCATAAAATTACATCGATATCCCAAACAACTCATCACCGTTAATTCCTTTCTTTTGGCGGATTCGGCGCTTCGTGCTTGTCCCCAATTCGGCGTGGTGTCTTTTGGATTCATCCATCGCAGTGTCCACCATCTGACCTCACTTCTGAAGAAGGTAGACTCTTAACATTACAAGCTTGGCAGAAATTTGCTGCAAATGCAGGCCTATAATTAAGACACCTGTGTGTCCTTGATTTCCATGGAAACAGATCTCCAAGGGCTCAGAAACAAACTAAACGGAAATGACAATACCGAGATGAGACTTAAAAATGCATCTGATCTTGTGGTTGCAATTTTTCCTTATTCTGTGGAGTGTTTCAGGGAATTGATGAATTCCGAGTGTTACTTCGCCACAACATTTGCAACGCCTGCTCGACAACTCGATCCAGATTTTAAGGCCTACTTGATACTTAGACCGGTGATTTGAATCAAGACATTCCAGCAACCTTTAGATAAATAAACGAAAAATCGAATGTCCGGTCTATCATACCAAAAGTGTACCGGATACGAAATCTGTCCTATCATCAAAGGCTGAAGTAACTGGGAGTTCTCAGTGGCCGCCACCGAAGATTGTGCGGCGATCTTATATTAACCTACAAAATATTGAGTGACCCTAATCAAGTATGCCGTCGCTAGGTGAAACAGCCATAAAACCAATCTCCGAGATAACCCTCTGGAATTGAGTGAACAGTATAGCCACTTGGATTGCCGGCGGAATTAATGTTCTCTTCGGGTTTACCAAGGCTGGAACTCCCTCCCAAGCTTAGTTTCTTCCTCCCCACCTCGGAAATTTTCAAAATACTGTTGGATCTTGCCCATGGAACCTAACACTTCGCTGTCTAATCTGTGTTACTTTGGAATATATTAATTATCCCTTCAAGCCAGATTAATATTTCACATAAACCTGAGGAGGCGGTACAGAAGTGAGCATTCTTGTTTTTACTTTTCTCACGGAGTACCTTAACTATAATTGTACCCATGTTGCGTCGTCGTTCGCATTCAATTCCCATTTACACTACTATTATTCAGCGGCGTATCTGCTCGATAAACGCTCAAACAGGCAATAGTGTAATATTGTAGTTTTACCCTCTACATCCTGCAGGACTTGACAAGCAACTGCTTCCGTACCCGGCATAAATCACTGTTTACTGTTCAGAATGAACGGTAGCAGAAGCTGCATGAATAGAAGACAGGAATTAGTTAGGGCACGGCAAAATTTAGCTTTGGATTGATTTCGCAGATGTCTCGGCACGTCCGATTGGCAGCCGGCCATAACAGCGGCATTGTCAAATGTCTGGCCACGGCAGTCAACAATCTGAATTAAATCCTTCTCCTGGTCTCTCAATAAACAACGAGCTATTTTCACTGCTTTTTGCTGGTGGTCTCAATGAGGCTGAGAATTGACTCCTACACCCGTCACTACATTTTCACTCATCTAATTTTGTGGGATACATTGGGAGTGCTATCAAAAAAGCAAACACACGCTTTCCTTGACCTGATTCAAGATTTTCTTCCTTATATTCCTTATCAAAGTGTTCGCCAAGTCATTTTGAACAAGGGCGACAAAGAAAAAGTGCTGCTATTTCTTCGCGGCTGATCTATCACTAAAAACCGCGAAGTACAAGTTCATAAGTGGCCAACAAATGCACAAATTCTGAACAATTTCCTCTATTATTGGCCTTCTTTGTCATTCTGGATGTTTTTTCAGCGACCATACAATGTCATGCTTTGTCAGGTGAGAAAGCTGACAATATCAAGTATTCTAGCTAAAATTTCACGCAACCAGTTTTCTATAACTACTTGCTTCATTCTGTCAAATGCCTTTGCTTCAAAATGCCAGATAGCTTACTCCTTGCGGTTGGTGAATGACTGAGCACGCGATTTACTAGGCTCGTGTTCACATGCTTTTGGAGTTAGTTTCCGCCAGTCGACTAGACTATCCCGTTGAGGACATCCTGCAACCGAAACCAAACAAGGTCCCTGAGGGAGAATACGGTACCCGTGTTCGCAATCTTTGCTTAAGAGCGCAAATCCCGAAAAATCCAATCCATTTTTAAATTATTAACCCAACCTTTCATATTCGTCCCCGGTAGAACCACTTAGTGAACTCACGATCGAGGTGCTGCACAACAGTAGATCCGAGCCAGACTAAGATTGCGATACTTCATGGTCAATCTTAACACGCAACTGGCTGACATCCATAAAATCGGTTGATATGTCTATTATCGTGTGAAAGTGTGGTCGCATTTTCAATTCTTCAACTTCGCGCTGAACTTATACATCAGCGTTACAAATATTGCTGTCGTAAAGTTGCCTTCGTACTGCTGCATTGTTGCTATTCTGCACGTGCGAGACTACGACAGCCTGACTGCTCCGTCACGCGCCCAACAAACCGATGGGATACAGAAGGCCAAGGCTCGGTAAATAGGGAGTCTATTCTACACGATAGGTCAGTTCTACTTATTGGTGAGCGAAACATACCAATTTTAGAAGCGTTTGGCTCTCAACCAATGTGAATTAATTCCGTCCCACGGAATTTCCATTTTCGGCAGAATGGTTCGCCTCCGTTGACTCGGGCTTGTATTTGCTGGACAATCAGTTTGCACCCGATTCCCAAATTTGGCGAAAGAGTCGAAGGTCGTTCCACGCTCGTGCTGGTGACCTTCGCATGCAGCAGACAGCTCACGTGCTCCGCGGTAAGCTTAGGCGCGACCTCGTATCTGGACATTGGTTCCGCTTACCTCGACTAATTTCGCGCTGCCTCCATGCTGTAAATGTCGCATTCTGTTGCTTGGATATCAACGTTTGCACTACTAATTTCATCAGTTTCAACAAGACTATCACCTTCACTTTTGTCTATTCAGTCATGGAGGCAATTTTGATGAACTTACACTTGTCATTGAAAAATCATCTGTACTAAAATTGCCACCTCCTGTCACATGCCGCCCGGGGCGGACCGCCCCTATGCTACGCCTCTGCCTATACCATGGAGTTTACAGTGTGATATAAGCCATGAATAAGAATAAGAGGTGTCGTAGTTGCCCGTCTCAGTACGTCACCGCACTAGAACAAACTTTTGAAGAGAGCAATAGTAACATAGGTCACGAAGAGCACTGAAATATCGTGGATAACACGTGGAATAATCGTGAAATACAATCTAGCCAAATAAACAAGTAAGTAAGTAAGTAAGAGCTGTTTCTCAGTCTTAGACTGGCGCAATAGAGATACTGCATGAGGCCGTCAGTGGTTAATCAATCTAGAGTGAAACCGTACCCAAGTGACTTGCAATAGCGACAGAATACCGCTGACCGAAAGTAGACGACAGTGCTAGAGTAAGAAACATTATTTTTGGTTAGCAAGGAAATGGTGCATTGGGGCAAAGACCACCAGTGATTTTCATAAGCACAGCTAAGTTAAAGTCGGCGGATAAATAACGGGTACAACTGCTTTGCGCACTCTCATGGCTAACACGTGAACCGGAGCATGAAGAATATACGCCATATATATATATATATATATATATATATATATATATATATATATATGCTTCAGGTAAGCATTACATCGTTGCATGTATTGTACTCGATGGTCGTGCAGCTCTATCCATGACAACGGTGCTGAGTAGTTACGCGGCACTCGCTTGCATGAGTACGAGGAGCTGATGAGAACCAACATTATGTCAATCCATTCTGATCCTTCTTAGTAGCCATCGTAAACGAGAAAGATTTATTGTAAAGTGAAAGACATCTAAAATAAAGATCGCGAGAGAAATACTCACCCATTTCGCCACCAAGGATGCATCTAGGCGAGCGTCATCAGAGTCTTCATTTGAAGGCACATAGGAGGGGTCCACATCACTGTCGTTCAGTTCGTCTGAGACTTGGCTGTTGTCCGATGCGATAAACGTATCCTCATCAGTTGCGCGACTCTCGCATGCACGATCTCTCTTGGAAGCTCCATGAGAAGTGGAGTGACGAGCGGCCTTCGTTCGCTTCGACTTCAACGACCTGTGAGAATTACGTTGACGGTTGGTAGACTTGCTCGGCCTGTTACAACCATCCTCGTTGACCGAGGAGTTTTCTGCTGAGGTATCGGAGATCCTACTACTTAAATTACCGCTGACCGGTCCTATTGCAGAGCTACTGTGACCTTTACTGCTGCTGTCCTCACACTCGATCACCACTTCATCATCACTACCTATAGGAGAATTCAGTGTCGTACGCTGCAACAACCGCCAAGAAGCTTTACTAACACGTCGGGGGTTTTCGGACACAGCCTCAGCCTCGGCGTTGCATAGGCGTTCATGACGTTCTCGTAGCAACCGGTCCCAGAAAGCGGCGTACCCCAGAGTCTGATCAAAAAGCATAGGGGAAGAAAAATGGGCTCCAGGTATAAAAGGATGGTGGATATTTTTAGTCCACCAATATAACAGTTTGGAAGGAAAAAGATCCTCGGTAAACGAGTAGAGGACAAAAGCAATGAAATATGTGGTGTAATGGTTCAGGTGTTTGGCTTGTGATCTTTGCTTTTCAAGTCCGATTACTTCCACTCCCATAGGAATTTGGGTTGTTCTGCGGTATCCAAGCTAGCGTACATTCACTCGTTGTCGCACGACAGTGAAGAATCGCAGTACAAAGTGCTGATGTGGCATTGAACCCTTCATAAATAAGCCAAAGCCAAGGGTTCCATTCAATCCAATTGATCAAACGAAGTTCATGCTAAGTTATAAACCAGGTAATAGCACCTAACAGTACCACTTATCTGCTGTGTGACTGAAAGCGGCTGTATACGGATGGGGATGCAGCAGGGACTCCAAGATCCGCACATGAGGGGGGAACTCAAAAATAGCAGAAGGGGTGGGGGCGAAAACAGTAAGTGAAGTGCCTGACATTAGAAGTCCCCGAGTAACCGAATCAGAGGCGGATGAACAAGTAAAACAGAGGAGTGTCGGATAACAAACTACGAATGAAACAAAAAAGGAAGAAATATCTTCTGCACCGTTATTTAAGCAGATCAACAGTGATTGAGTGAAATGTGTGTGACAAAACAACTAAGGAATATAAATCCTAGACTGTGGAAGATTAGATAGCTAAAGGAAACAAACCGTCGGGTCGGATGAAACATCTTAAGAAGGAAAAAATAATGGTTGTGATAACGCCCCAGCCCTGGCACGGAAAATTTGGCCCTTGCCATATGCACTACCGCAAGAGCACAGGAAAGTATCCAAAACTGAAAAACAAGTAAAATACAGATTGAACCATAAGGCAACACCGTGGCCTCGATTAGTAGAAAATCGGTAGCGATGGTTGTCATGGAGGGACGCAAATAAGCACAAATACGTTTGATGTATCGAAGTAGGAGGCAGATTAATATATGTGAGATGAAAACGCACGACTCTAGGTCTATGATTTAGTGAACGAGGTCCACATTGACAATAAGTCCGACCTGGATAAATACATAATCAAGTTCGAGTGAAAAAATGTTTAACTGTAGTGAATTAAATAGTTGACCTGGTGACGCGGCGCGATGAAAGACGCCACAGTTGGGTTGCTTGAATACCTGTTGACTCCGCATGCAGCGTCTGACTCGATGCATGGTATCATCCTCATCCTCATTAATACACGTTAGTCGAAAGTGAGCAACAGACCCCAGCTAATGTGCCGCAATAAGAAAAACGATTTATTAAAGAATACAGACTAAAAAGCTATAAAAAGGTAACATAATGCTAAATACCATATTATGCAGAGAGTTTGAGATCGTTGTTGGAGGGGAAAACTAAAGGAGAGAGGTAGACAAAGAAACTCACAACATAAACGCCACTGAGGTCAGCTCTTCGCCATGTCGGCTAGTATATCCACCCAAATGTGTTTATTGTCCTTCGGTCCCCAGCCACGCAGTCAGTAAACACTAACGGACGCCAAATTCGAAGTAAGAGACCTCATTCCTCTTGAATAAGTCATCGCTTGGCCTCCCGTTCTATTTTTCCATCCACACACAAGGCGCGCAAACAACGCACGTCGCGGGAGTCGGTGGGCTGGCAAGAGTAACATGTAGCTTGGCCATCGGAGCCTTATGCCTGACATAACGGTGCTGAGCAGTTCACTCGCTCTTCCTACACCAAATACAAGATGCCGAACATGCTCATTGCTCACGCGGTGCTCTCACCAGCTATGGGCCAAGCTGTGAAGACACCGATGATCGAACGTGATTAGTCTCTTTGTCGACTTGATGGGCCAGATATCGCAACCGTACAGGGGGGTTGTACGGACAGCTGCATTGTAAACTCCGCCATATAGGGCGCTAATATAGCTGTACAGATATTTAAATTTCTGGACGACTTCTAGCTGTTCACCACAAGAGTCAGCACAGGAGCGTGGCCCTTGTCAATCTTGGAGAAGAGGTTTGTGTTTCGAGGATGCAAAGCATGGCCCAAAACGACGGACAACCAGACCTAAATTATCCAGTGCAAGTTAGCACGTTCGGGAGGTGTCACAGATGAGCGCGATGCCATCGGGATACCACAAGTCAAGAAGTCATTCACCTGGGAGCAGCTACACACCTTGTAGATCGTGCCCAATAAACGCAGTCCGCATGACTTCGTCAACGGCAAAGTTAAATAGGAAAGGTGGCAGCGAGTAATCACCGCACACCGCTGGAGACAATAAAGGGCGGCGAAAGTTTGCTGTAAACCCCAACTCTGTCCGAACTATGACATTTACATATTTCTCCCGCCCAATTTTCTTCAGTAGACAGTCCCAAAGGGCAGACTGATCAACAGAATCGATGGCTGCTATGATGTCTAGGAACACGACTACGGTGGATCGCCGACAAACATGGCGGTGCTACAGCAACTGACATACTGTGAAGATGTGGTCAATGCTGCTTCGATTTCGACGAAACCAAGCGCCTCAAGCATCTGGCTTTCACGAGTACCAGTCAGCTTTTGGAGGACGACAAAGGCAATTAATTTAGAGGCAATGGAGATTAGCGAAATCAGTTTCGCTGTGACTACCGCAATCCGAACAGGAGCCTCCATTGAAAATTGGGAACATAACGGAGCAGCTCCAGTCTGTTGGGAAGGTCTTTTGCTTCCATAGATCCAATAAGAAGTTATGTAAATCGTCTAAAGGAGCAGGTCTCCCGAATTTGAAGAGGGCTGGATGAAGTCCATGTGCCCTGGCGGCCTCGTTCAATTGTAGCTGTCTGATCTCACGTCCGATTTCTGCATGTGAGGGCGGATCCAAAGGGAGGAGCCAGGGAGTAAGGCGCCCATTGGCCGATGGAGAAGCTAGCAACTCTGACTGACGAAACTGCGTCATATAGTATTCGGCCCAATGCATCAGGCACTTTGAGAAGCTGTGGATTGACTGTCCACTCTAGTCGCACATGGTCTCGCTAAAACCAGGTTTCCTGCTGCCCGTTTCTCGTAGCAGACGGAATAACTTAAGATGACTACCAAGTGCAGTGGTTGACTCCATCTCCGAGACACGATGAGACCACCATGCTTCGCGCTCTCTTCAGGCTAGCACGTAGTTCGCCCCTGAAAGCCTTGCTAGTCTCATTGTATTCGCTTCCAGCCAGAACGGGTTGGCGAGCATCCAGAGGTTCTAGAGACTGCGCGGAAACCCAAAGTCTATGTTGGCAGTTTGATTTGCCACTTGAAGACATGTTTGCTGCTAACAGGGTGCATGGTAAAGGAGACAAGTACTAACAGATCACTCAACCTATGTTGGAGAAGGCAATAAGGAACTCCTGGATAATTACTACGCTTCGATATGTGCATCCCATTGCGTTTGCCAAGAAAAGGAACCTTTCCGACAGCAGTTCCGTCAAATGCCATATGTATATTTTTATTTGCATCGTTATTACAGCCAAATGCCCAATTATGACGAACCTACTATCTGACGAGTACGAAACCTGGCTCGGTTGATCGATGCTTCGTGCTCGGCTTCAGGATCGCAGTGCCCCCTTCAGAGGGAAAAGATTTGAGCACTATCAAAGATGATGGAGAACAAAGTGTGATGTCTAGTGGGTTTAGGCGATTATCAAGACACTGCATTACGGAAGCTAGTTGTCAGGGTGGTGAGAAGGCCGACTAACATGGTGCACTTTAGCATGGCGAGACTAACCAGTCCACGTGAGTGGCTGACAGACTCGTTGCCATAATCAAACCGCAAGCTGATGAAATCCGGCATCAGGCGTCACGTGTGTTGCTGTGCGCCCGACAGGAAGCTGAAGAAATCGCAAGTCATTACCTCAGGGGGAACAATGCTGGGCTTGGCCAAGCGGGTAGACAGTCAAGGGCCAATTAGCCAGGCGGCGTGACAGGGATTAGTGAGTGTGTCCTATAAATATCAACTCTGCTCGTACCCAACAAAGACTTGTCGGTCGAGTTCGTATTCTGTTTTCCCAAGTCTGGGTTGGACGGCCACGCACTCAAAGAGTGGGGCAAGGTGCACGCACACGTCAGTACTAGCGAGCATCGTACTGCAGGAAGGCAGGCAGCAGAGCACAAAGCAGACAACAGAGGCGATGCCTAGCGGTTACAACAGAGGCGACACAGACGAACGAAGCGAGGGTTACAACACTAGTACGCCGAATTAAAACCATTTAGGAATAGCAACATCGAAGAGATTGTCACAAACGAAGCCTAAATGAAATCTGATCTTCGAGGGCCAGTTGTAGGGTGCAATACAATTCATTTAAAAAAAGCGGTTGAATGCGTCGAATTGATGAGCAAGAATAGTGGGCAGATCTCGATGGCGCAACACGATGAGAGTTCGGCCTTCCAGTGTCCAAATGGTCCTGGAAATCATGACAAGTCAGTGCTGCACAAACTGCTGTTAAAATTAAGGTCCCAAAGGGTATACAAACTGATGAATGATTATTTTACAAGGCAAGTTTACTCCATACAGCTGTTCTTGTAACAGCGTTTTAAAGTAATTCTATAGCCTCACGTTCTCCATGCGTCGAAAGAGTCCCTAAATCAGCCATATATATTGGACTAAAATGTATCGTAGGGTGCGTCCTAGTGTGAATAGCTCCGTGTTGAGAATCCTTTGACACTTCAAAAGGGGTTGCATGAACTGGTGCAGATTCCCAGCCTGGCATCTTGCTCTCAATGTTTATAAATGTGGTAATGTTATATTTCCCTTACAGTAAAAACAGAGTTGATCCCCGCTCTAAGTTGACTGGTTTTATGTTCATGGCTTGAACATTTACCATGTAAATTTTGGGGATCTAGAACTCTGTATGTTGACCACTTTGGTCTAGTTTCTTGAGAGGTTCCACTGTACTTCGCGCTAATAAACTGTATTGCTACAAATACCTTCTGTCTGCTGGCTGTAAGCT